TGCACTGCTTCTTGTTTTTGATTAACTCTTCCCGACATATCAAAGTGCATTCATAATCAAGGGATCCTGGTTTCTCAACTGGCCTTGCAGGAAGTTCATGCCAGTCTGCAAAGGGCTTTTACTCGCCTCAACCTCCTAGTCACATGGCAAACTCAGCGCATCCTTTATTGGAGAACACGTACCACACTCTACAGAATGCTGAGATGCGTGGAAGTCCCAGCAATGCCAGCCACGTTTCTGCTCTGACACAGCGAATTCTCTCAGAAGTCTACATCGCGGCAGCGAAAGCGGCATCAATAGCCGTGAGTGAGTCACTTGGAAGTGGTAGCATGGACGCTGTAAATCAGACCATTGGTGGTTCCGGAAGTTATCGACCCAACTCGCATTACGCTGAATCCGCCTCCATGATTGGTGGAAGCATTTCGGCTTTGGATGGACTTGGCGGCTATCCAGGTACCAAAATAATCTTTATCACAATTATTTGCCTATGTACTTAACGTCTGATTTCCGAGTTCTGTGAGAGGTTTTACAAATTTGTGTTTGAAGCAATTAGATTATTGGTTCTCTCAGGCAACATCTATTGATGATCATTTTCAGGATGTATACAAATTCTGGCTACCACCTCTGATGCATAAAGTAACTCAATAAGGTGGCCGATTTCTCGAATGCTTAAAGGTTAAACAAAAGGTCAAAAGTTTCATATTATTAAGTTGATGTCACATAATTCTAATACCTTACTACTAACCATGTATTAATGCTCAACCAAAAATTTACTCTGGTTACATTTTTGGGCAAGGAGGAACACTTTGGTGCTCCCTTTACATTTTCATTAATAGTTTTGCGTTGTGAAGAGACAATATACACGTATTTTAAGTGCTGCATAGCCTCACCAACGTCGTATCGTTCAAGCATAAAAAAGAATTATTGCGCAAAACAATGTGAATAAAATGAAAACAATAATGATAAAATATCAATGTTTAAGGATGACTGAAATGTTTCCCCTCAACTGAATGAGCATGCCGATATTTGTGAAGTTGTGCAACGGTTCAATATTCACAGAAATTATGCACAAGGTGCCACGAACTTCAATGTGCTACGTCGGAGTAGGAGAGAGATAAAGTCGATTGGAGGGTTTTTTGTCTACTAAAATAAAGTTATCATTGGCACACTACATTTTAGCCTTTGCGTCAGTTGCAGAAGACGCGCCCTTACCTAATCACACATACATACGCGCGCAGAAGTGCACTTGCTTACTTGCGACGAAGTGGGAGTTTAAGTGTTGACAGATAAATGAGGAATAGAGTCTTTTAAATTCGTAATAATTTCTCACTTTGCTTGCTCTCTGTATCTAGTGCCCACACCAAATGGCGTGTCGCGAATGCGAAAATCGCCCAACACACGCACAACTACCCCGACCTACCAGGGTCATTTAACTCCTCAGCCCTTCCCCTCGACACCGCAGTTTATGGGCCAGCAAATTCTCCGCCCACGCATTCCCTCACAGACTGGACCCAGCTACGGATGGGCTTCGCCCATGCTGACACCTCAAGCCACAATGAGGTTAAATGAGGCCGCAAATGCTCTAGCAGCAGCTGCAGCTGCTGCAGTCCTAGAGGCTACCGGGGCTACACCTGACCTCGGAGTCCAAGGTGGTGGCGCTCACGCTTCTCGGTTCAGCGGTAGTGCAAGCGGAGGCGGTGGTGGAGGTAATGGTGGCCTGGGAACCAGCAGTGAGGATGGAGAAAGCATTTCTTCAAACTCTTTTTTCCCCAGAGGTCCCGATGGTAAAACCTCCAGCCAAGAAGCTAATATGAAGGTGGGGGAGAACAGTATCATCTAATGGATGTTTTGAAAACTACCAGAGGCTTCATTTTTATAGCATTATGTCATTACCAGCCTGCAATTATGCATTTATGCAGTTTAATTCGATTATTTGCGAAACTAAATGGAAATGCTTTATCTGTCGATTAGTCATCCTGCCCGAAATCAGCCAAAACGATGTTACTGACAGGGTGTCTATGTGAATAACGCTATTCTTAGAGTGAGAGTCAGGCGCACAATCCCAGTGGTGGAGCTTGTCACTCGGATGATACTTCATTTTCCTAGCAAGGAGCTTTTTTAAAACTAGTGACATGCGGACTGCCGCAGATATCGAATAAAAGTAGCATTTTTCTGCGATGGATGATTGAATTAAAAATGCAATCACAGATCAGTAAGTTATGCTCTCCCATTTTTACAAAAGTTTCTCAGATCCTTCGAACTGCTGATTCATTTAAAATCGAAAAATATAAAAGAGGACTATGCTAATGGCCGACCTGTATATTTTTCGAATTTAAAATTGATACCTGAGAACGTGATGCCTCCTCACTCTCCACCTAAGACCTATTGCTACTGCAGCTCAAATTTTGCAGAGCATTCGACTGTATGGCGGTTCTTGTTCAGCAAAAATACAAGGTCGTTTTATCCCTTAAGGCTCCTGTAAGTTAGTATCTCGTTTACTACACACGAGATGCCTGCTATAACACGTTTTCATCCACTCAGTTTTTAAAAACATTTAAGCAATTCAGGTTCTAAGGTGAGGCGGTCTTTTATCAAAATCACTCGAGCCAACCAAACTTCGGCCTCATTAACGGTACATGTATGGTAATTTTAAACTCGTGGTGGTTGTATAAGCCCCCAATACTTTCGTGGTAGGCCTTTAAAATAATTGCTGATCATTAGGAGAGACGAGGACAAATCGAAAGTGGAAAAAGCTTTGCATAACTATTGTAAGGCAACGTCAACAAAGATAACTGTTAACTTTCGTTTGATGGTACAATCAACTTTTATCTTTAAAGAAGATAGGATGCTAGTCAAATGAATGCTATGCAATAAATATGATTTTGAATGTCGTACTTGCATTATCTGTTCTAGGAAATTTTTTTTAAAAAGCAAATTAAAAATTTAATTTTTGAATGGGGAATGACTACTAAACAAGTGGGTTAAATGTTAATAAGCATGAGGCGATAGTTAAAATCTGAAAGTTAAGGAATCTATTTTTTTATGTGGAAAGCCTAATTGCATCGGGCTTTGGGCCCAAAACAACTAGTAGCCATGACTCATCAATGACGAACGCTTCAAGATATACGCAATAGCCTAAGGTTTGGGAATATGGAGCAGATGTTGAAACATTTTGCCATAATAGAGGAGAGAACTTGAAGCATTCCGTTGCACAAATTGTGACTGATGAGAATGCATTTTTGGTTCAGGGTCAGAGAAAAAAGCCAGTACAAAGTGCTTGTAAAGGATCTCTTCCAAACGCGGGAATGGAGTCCCTCCTTCCGATGCTGACCATCTCCCCCAACATACCTTCAAACTACCCCCAAATAATGGATCCACGCGGCACCCGGACATCTCCTGGAGAACTTCCTCCCTACTTTCCATCCACACCCATGGAGGGTATGTGGATGCAGAACTTCCAGCCCATTGACAACCCCAGAACAGGCGAGGAATCTAAATTTAATCCCTACCCCAATGCACAACTCGAAGCTGGTAATAGTGCTTCAACAACCGGTATGGTCTCCTCTTTCGCCAAGCCACCTCCTTCTACTGTCGGCAACAGACCATCAGCCATTAATCTTCAACCTTCCTCAAGCTCCGCCAGTTACACTAAGGATGACAATAACCCCAACGACAACACTCTGCGGGCTAATCCCGACATACAGAGCTTAAAACGGTCTGAACAACCTGAACAGCAGTCAATGCCATCCCCACCATCTCAGACGACTGCCGAACTCCAAAAATAAGAATAACACGTGTACATGCGTTGATGACCGATTTTCAGTTGATACCTATTGACCCTACAATACCACTGCACCAATATCACACCACAAGGACGTTTTTTTCTTCCCCCTCCTTTTTCTTCCCTTCTCTTGGCTTTTCTCAGGAGAGGCAGGCCACCGCTAATGCTGCTGTCACTGTTTTGTCTGTGAGAGTTACAATGTTGCATTTGGCAGACGCACGCAGTATTTGCCATTTACGGGGAAAATTAATAATTTATTGCGATTCTAACTGTTACCCACGAAGATGAAGCACCTCGGTTTCTGTAAGAGCTTTATGTATTACCACAAGTGTTAGATACCCTTAAGTTGAGGCAAATGGGTCATTTAACGAGTGAAGTTTATTTGGTTAGAGCAAGTGTACCCTCCATCGTGGTGGTATAAATATTAAACGTGAAAGCAAAATTTGGGACCTCCATGCCATTTCATTCCCACTTCCTTTTGTAGCATGTTTTGTAATGGAGTATAGTGGTGAAGTAGTAACTTTTCATGATTACACTAGTATTTGTCAGATCCTTGTTTTAATTAGTCTGGGGACTAGTGGGAAAGCAAACGTTGATAAAACTCTACCTTGAGGCCGTTGAGCAGTAAATTAGGTTACACAGTTTATTGCAGATGGGCACATGTTTGTTTGACCGCGTAGGACTTCCCATCCTCAAGAGACTTGGCAAGGGCTCAGTTCATTGCATAAGGGTCACTATAATTTAGGTAGTAAACTTATCGCCATACCTATATGCCTCGCTAGGCCTTTAAAGGTATTCACCAACTAGAGCTCTAAGCATGAACATTTACTTTTGCATTCCAATGATTGTGTTTTACACTCGACACCCATAAGACAGTGTACACAGGTAAGCATTTTGTCCAAGCAGAGTGAATAGTTACAGACACCGTAGTTTCTGCAATCCGTGTAAGGCATTTCCTTGGGCGTTTGCACTGCTCTGACAGCAATCGCTATGCAGGCAGATCACATAATAATGTTTTGCAAGAGCTAGGCCATGCTCGTGAAATCGAGTTTATCTAGGCGGTTGAGTTGGTAAAAGTGATGTGGTGATGCCTCAAAAATAATTATCACACCAGCAATTTAGTTGCGCATTATTAAAGTTAATATGTTTTTGTTGGGATAAAAAAATAAAAGGTATTGTTTTTGCGGGGTCGCTAGAGGCGTACAGTATAATAATGCTTCTGTTTAGAATTTATAGAAGTGCATTTTAACAAAGCAGACTTGCGTTCTTTAATTTTACCATTAGCTAGTAGGAAATCTTAACAGAGATTGCTTTACTTTCTTCAAATGCAAATGTCTGCAAGGGTTTATCATTTGGTTTGTTAAATGCCTAACGGAATGCATCCCATGATGATTGAATAATCGTACTATAAACTTGCCTCAGTAAAGTAGTTAAGGTGACGAAAAATCCCTAACCAACATAAAATGCGCCTCAAGCATTTGGTATTGCTAAAGGGGAAAAGGCCGTTCTGCCTCGAGAAGAGGCCTAAAACATGGTTCGTTCGACTGCAACGCCATGGCACCATCTGTAGTAAAAGGGATGTCACAAAGTTATCTCATCCCACCATTTGGACGAAGGTCCTACACATTTTCATATCAGGATACTGCATTAGCATTCGAAGTGTTAACACGGACACTACTTAGATCTGAGCGAATTCGGCCTCCTCATAAATTTTAAGGTGAAGTCTGTATTAGCATCCTTAGTAATGCCACGTGAGTTTACAAGTCAGCCTATGATCGCATTAAGCCATACGTAGGTATCATTTTGTCACACCTAAGCTTTCCACACCTACCATTAGCCATTAGGGTACTGAAAGGTTAAGGAGTACAAAAAAAGTGCATCATATTGATGTAAATGACCCACCTTCGGTTGCCCATTATTGATAGTGTAATTGTAATATCCACTCAACTCCGATGTCACAGCAGACAAACGGCAAGATGTCCGATTTATGCCATGTCAGTGGGCATAGCACCACATGACCGCGACCCTATCACGCGCACCCCAATAATGAAGCATGGAGTTATCAATCTACCTTGTTTTGGTAAATGATTGTGTGATTTTCCCATGAATTTAAGCATAACCATAGCATCAATTGTTCAGTGGGTGTGCTCAATCGTGTGGAATTTTATTAAAGGCACGATTGCAAAAGCAGAAGTTGTGCTATAAACTACGTTTACCGGATTCAGTCTTAACATAGGGTCTTCTACTTTTAATATTTATAAGAACTATGATCATTATTTAACTGAAAGTCAGCTCACATTGTGGTAGAAATCAACGAAAGCCAGTAGTAAGAAAAGGTCAGTGATTTATAGACGGTGGAGAAGGAAAGAAGGAAGGCGGTCTTAGACATTTCTACGACGAAAGTTGTCTCTAAACTGATGAGATTGAGCAGTGTAAATGTGTGAATGGCTGATGAGGTGGACGGATGAATATCTGCGTGTATGCATGTTAGAAAAGTCGCAACTTTCACTCCAAGAGTGCTTAATATGTGCATTTTTTCCAGTAATCACTACTTAACAAGAAGGGAAAAGCGGAAGCATAAGCTAGAAATATTCGAAAGTCAAAGACTACTCCTTTAGACAGCCTCTCCTACTCTGGCTGTTGATCAGACGTCTTCCAAATAAGGAAGGCCCATCCGAATGCTTTGAAATGAAGCAACTGTCCCCCGAGACTCGCGATATTGCTTCCATAGGCTCCGGTGCCAGCAATTACGTGCCAAACGGGTCCGAAATTATCATCCATCGCTTTTTTTAAAGTCGCAGCCACTTGTGTTGGGCCATTCGCTGTAGCAAGAGCTGATTCCGCGAGTTGGAGAACAATCTTCTTGTCCGGTGGTGGCAGTGACTCGTTATCCTCGCCCTCATCCATTCCATTGGTATATTCAATGCCAACGTCAGTCAGGTCCACATAGTCAGGTGGGAATCCATCATCCCGTGTTACCTCACCGTGCAACGTTGGCATTGCTGCAATGCCCTTTGGTGACAGTGTTGTATTCCAGGTATTTTGATACTTTTGGGAGGTGTAAGTGGTTTCATTTAGTGTACCTCCAGGTGAAACTAGTCCGTAGGGCATCGCTGTAGGCGTGTCCTTCTGAATGGGTACCTCAAATTCCGTTGGTGTCTGGTGAAGCTTTCGACCAGATTCCATCGAAGAAGTCATAGCGGACTGTGCTTGCATGCGCTGTGTCTCGATAAACTGCTGCTTAGAGCGGGCGCGTTTCGTGAGAGTACTGCGTCCATACTGGTTCAGGTTACTCGGAGGCGGTCCTTCGCTTTCCCATTGATCGCCTTCAAAATTAAAGACACGTGAATTTCTCTCAGTGGTGCTTTGGTGAGCGCCATTGGGGCAGCATACACAATGATACTGACTCGGCGTTCTGGCGCTCCGTGGATAGACTGGTGGGAACCTCTGTGCCGTCCCTGGAGTCATTGGTGTAACTGCACTCATAGGAATACTTGATCTGGGTCCGTAGATAGTACTTGTCGGAGGATATCGACGCGGAAGGCTGTAGTGAATTGGAATGGCTGGTGAGGCGAGATATGGTACTCCAGGCACTGGAGTTGCATATTCATCCGGATAGTAGTAAGCTGCTGGAGAAATAGGTGCATAGTTTCCCGCCCAATCGGGATAGAAGGCTAATGTAGGGGTGGTGTAGCCTATTGCCATTGGTACACCCCGAAAAGTACCATATATATCACGAGCACGTGAACGAGAACTTGGTCGAAGTCTACCATGTCTGTAACAGTAGCAATGTGCATGGTGATGATGATGAACAGAGTCTTTTTTGCGTCTACTGACTGATTGTGAGCGACCTGTCTGATCCTGTAAACTCATCTGCTGGAAAGCATTGTTTAATGAAGACTGCTCGTATTGCCGACGGCGTCGAGAGGTAGCTTCGGTCTCTCGAATGATATCGGAGGAGTAGCTGCGTTGATTCCTCGGCCGACCCAGGCTGGTTGGCTCAAGCGGAGGAATCGTCATTTTGGTGACGACACGTGTCTCACTTCCCTGTCGAAGGGTTCGTCTTTGTCGTCGGCTGCTGGTGCGAGCCGCCGGAGGACTTACGATTAGGGTCTCAGTAGGGTAAACATGATTTCGTGGCTCTGCTGACACCGTCCAGTTTTGACCAGTAGTGGAGATGCGCTGGATTGCCACGTCGACAGGTGGGTGGGAGGGACGCACGTCAACGTGAATTGCAGTGGCATTTTTGGATCCCTGGTAGGGAACCTCATCTTCACTACGATAGACTGCGTACTGTGGACGGTTAACCGGTTTACTTTCAGAGTCGCTGCCAATATTACTACCGCTCTGATAAGTCTTTGATGTGACGTCAGTTCGACGGTTTGTCACCGTTGACCGAGAGGTAATAAAAAATTCACCCTGGCCACGTGACCACTCCTCACTATCGGATGTACTGAAAGTTAAAATGGTTTATTGTGATGCAACATATATAGTAATAGAGACATTACTAACGACAGCGATGACTTGAGAACGATTTCATGTGACACATGATGTCAAGCATCATCGAATAAAACGACATCATTTACTGAAGTAGCCAAGTTCACGATCCTGAAAAGACATTATGTGATAATAAATAGTCACCAAACTTTTGTTATAAATAAAACTGACAAACAGTCTGGTTCCTTCCTAATTGCACCTTTTGCACAGTCGTTGGTCATATAAACTCAGATTAAAAGGATAGCAGCTGTAATCCGGGCCGTGAAATGCTCTAAGGAAGCTTATATATGTTTTTTTTAAAGATAAATAAATAGTGACGTTGCAGGTAAGGTTTAAATTTTACGAAATAGCAACTAGTTTGTCACTTAAAAAGCCCTAATTCATTCAACCACACCAGTGTATTTCATTCTTTGTGACGTACTTTTTCGACACTTGTGCCATTGGTTTATCGAATTATGAGGTTTTGGCAGCGTTTATGGTGGCCTGTTTGTGTTTGCTAAAATGGAAGAGAGGCGTTTAAATGAAATGAGAAAAGGTGAGGTCTACAATCCCAAAGCCCTAATCAACCAGCGGGACTCGTCACTGCTACTTCCTTAATGCATCACACGCTAAGTACTAAGTCTATTAACACTTTTCTATTAAAACAGTTTTTGGGTACTGCTTATAGTTGAAGCATTCGGTTAGGTTACTTGGATTCAAGTGGGATTGGACATTGTGTAAGTGTGTATCCATCAACGGTAATGCCCATCACAATAAAAAATATCCTGAAATGTGGGCACATCTTAATGCAAGTTTGTGATCTCATCCCTCGATTAGAGGCCTACAGCCCAAAATGGAAGATACTTAAAATTTCGTCCTAACTGAGATTAGGAATAAGTAAACATCAAAACTATTTGCATCAAGTAAAAAATCAGTGCATCAAATTGCAAAGCAAGGGAAATTAACATCATTATGGTAAAAAGAGCTAGACATCGGACATACCGAGTACCAATGACCTGGGTCACTGCCTTATAGCAGCTGTGAATAGATTGTGATGTTAATAAAATTTAGATCTCATTTGGAGCGACTAACTTTGCATTATCCCCAAATACACGATTAAAGGACCGCCTCAAATAAGGCAATTGCTTCACTAGCTTAGGCCCTCAAAACCAAGCATTAGCATTTCTTCGAATCGCCTTCTTAAAGAAGTTTAAAGTTTTCTAAGTCAGGGTAGGACTTCACTTAGTAAGCGTTACTAATGGGCGAATTATCAACCAAAAGGCTTACAAAACCGTTGCAAAATGCGCATACTTGTGTGGACAGTTTGCACGATGGCGTATAAAACACAACATCTCAAGCATACGTGTCTCCGGTCATCACTCACAAGCATACGCACACTAGCACGACGTCTACCTAACCACACATCGGGTATAACACTTACAGCCACTTAAATGTCTTGGTGAAAACAGATGACTCCTTAGGATTGGTGGATGCATTTGGCAGTCTGAGTCTGAGCATTAGTGTGCCATCATGTATTGAACTTTCATGCTTTACTAACTGATCAAGACTGAGACCTGACAACTGGTGTGTTTAAACCTGCGTGAGTGAAAGGTGTGAGGTGTCACGGCGCGTGTCGTTTGTGTTTGCTCTTGGCGCATACACTGTGGGCAGCCAACACAAGGGCAATAATGCACTGTTATAATCCTCATGTCAGTTAAAGAGGAACATATGTACTATAATCCTATCAAATTCTGTTTCAGCTATTGGTAATGTATAGAGGAGATGCAACTAACACTGCGCGTGAGAACACACTGTCGACAGTGCTTCCCATTAGTGAGAAATGATGTGATTACGTGCTGAAGACTTAATTTGCATCGAAGGATTTGGTAATATACGTCGACTGCCTTCGGATACATTTGCATATCTACCGGTGACACCTCCCATATGTAGAGGTTTTCGGCAAATAAGAAGCCTAATAAAGGCCTATTCGGTGCCCTTCTTTGCCAGCCGTAAGCTTTAATGGCTTCGGTGCTCTTCGTTATAACCTATTAGCAATTTGTGATTCAGCAGTCGCTCCCGTCATCAGTCCTGTTCAACTAGCAAGGCAAAGGTGACGCATGACTGTTCATTTAATGATTATTGACGCTGATGCGGTTGTGTAGGAAATTCGCATTATTTGTGAATTTTTGCTCCGAGGTTAACTCCCTGAAAGCAAATCACATGTAATCATATATGTAATTACATGATTGTGCAGCAAACATAATGAAAAATTCTATTTTTTATATTTACCGTGAGGATGTAAATTTGCACTTTGGAGTTGTGATGCCAGGTGTGATTTTTGATAACCATTTTATGGTCTTTTAAATGTGCAAAAGCATTCGACCACTGATTATCCCACCGTTTAGGACATTGCTAAATTCAAGGTTCACTTTAAATGCCCAAGCATCTGTATTTGTTATTTTGGTTTTATAGGAAACTCTTGTACCAGAAAGGTAAGATGTTACTGCATTTAAAAGTTGGATGTTTTAAAATAATTTATGGTCGCTAAGGCAATTCCTGGATTCAATTATGTAGTGTGTCCCAGAATGCACCTATAAAACATAATTCGATTGGTGGTCTGAGAGAGGTGTTGAATTTGCTCACAGATTACACTGTGAGAGCAAGAAGCTAGACTTACCGGTTTCTTAAGTATGTCCGGGTGTGGCGCTTAGAAGTTCTGTGGTTGCATAAATCCTTTCCTTCTCCTCTGGATAGTGAAAGACAAAGTTGAATGCGACGAGTCGTGAGGCAAAATCGAGCACCTATGCCTACAAGTGCACACACTTTTACAGGCGAAATCTATCACCACGATCCAATACCAATGTGATCGCGTTCTTGCCTCCTACTGGTTGGAGCAGTGGAAGCACTCAAATGTGCAATGGCGCACGCGACTGCATACAGGCGTACACACACCCACACACGCTCACCCGTTCACTCACTCGCAGTGAGGCAACTGAGTAAACAGTATTGGCACCGAGCCTACATGTCGCATCCTAGGTCAGTTGTGTGTGTGTGTGCATAACTGTGTATGCGAATACGAATGTGTGCGTGCTACCTTTGTGTGCAAAGGGCTGAGCTTTGAGAGCACAATGATTTGCTCAATGGACGATCGTGAATTCTTGTATCTATGGGGCGTAACCCGATTCGCATTTGCAAGGCATGGCGATGTAACAGCTCAATGAGTTTACTCCAGGCCTTAGCAAAAAGACAGACAAACTGAGCTTTACTCAGCGCGGTGAGCGAATCGATAATGAAGTTGGCGCTCCGCTCCTCCGTAGTCTGCTATCCCAAACTGAGTGACACACACCTAAAGCAGAGATACGCATAAGCCTCGGGTCAAGGTAACTCCCACGCATTCTGAGGTGGCATAATTTCAACTTTGAGACACTGAATGCTTTGAATCACTTCTTGAGTCATGGCTGCTTCATCATCAGCTTTATCACCACTTTAGCATCATTACATTAAACAACAACTTATGGAATTTATTTGAAAAGACTTTATTTAAATATCGCTAACATGCAATGCTTTCATCAATTTCAGCAAATAACCACATTTACTTCACATTCGGGATGGTTAATCCATGGCACAATGGCACTGTTTTTTATTGCGTAGACAATGTTAGTCAAGCACGTAATTGATGCATGCACGAAATTCTCGATCTCGGACGAGAGTTAAGCTAAAGAGCGTGAGGCCTAGTTTTCATCCTTTTGCACAACCTTCTTCCTTGTGGCACTACCATGCCACTTGCAGTCTTCTCGATGCTTAATGATGCGTGAAAGTAGCGTCACCAGGACTTCCTGCAAACAATAAAGTATTTATCTCTCGAAAAGTGTGATTTTACAACCAAAATCGAGTTGATAAGCTAAAGAGATGGCACATAACAGGGTTTTGCTAATAAATAGGTCAAAATTTTTAAGGCTGTACTTGAAGTGTGAGAAAAAGGTGCCAGTGCATTTTTATTAGGCGGATTTGTGGCCCCGTAGATTATATTTTTAATAAATTTGGAATGAGTAAAGAACATAACCACAATTTTGGAATGTGAAAATTATAAAGATAACACCTATAACATTTTTCAGAAGCAAAATCAGAGTGAATCGCCTGAGATAAAACAATTTTGGGGAGAGTTCCTTTTGGGTCAGATTGTGACCGTAACTGTAACTTTTAGGGAGCCTTTTTTATTTAAACCTGAAGTTACTCAGAGCAACTTATTTGTCGATGAACCCAATGGCCTTGATTTCTCACATTTTTTTGCTATTGCTCCCGAAGAACGTTGGAAGTGATAATATATGTTTGCGAAAATATTGTCCCTTTTTCTTTTCCAAGTTAAGCGCTGGCATTGCAACATTTCAGTGTCATCCGATCGCCTGACTGCCTCTGACCTCGTCTTTAAGTAGACGGTCCGACTTGGTGAGCTACTGAGGCATATTATTTTACCCAACAAAGAGATCGTCTAAACATAATCTTCTCTGGTCACCTACTTGTTTAACTGCATCTCTTCGCTAGTCTGACATTGAAACGGCCTAATTCTGGAGGTTGTCAGTGATTTGAAATTCATTGCACAAATTTTGATGTATCTACCAATGGGAAATGTAATCCATCGTTAATTTGATTAGTATAATGCTATACTATCTTAGTTTTAAATACAAATCATAAAAGTTCTAGTGTTCCAACAACTAAGATCGGCTTTTTGTGCTTACAGTCGCCTTAGGCCCATTGAGTGATCAACATTTTTGACATTGGCAAAACCCTCCTAAACTTGTTACGCCAAAACATAAGGAACCTACTATTTTAGGTCAAAGGTACGAGTTCTACAGGAACCGAATTTTCGCACATCTGAACACCAGTTTTTTTCCGCGGCAATGTAATGGCCTTTTTAAACATGAAGTAGACAAAACCAAAATTGCTGCTTCAGATTAGGCACCACGCCCTCATTGTTTTCGTACTCTACTCTTGTCTTTTTCTAACTTAGTGAAATGTGGACTTTTGTTTAACTACACAGTAACATTGAGCTCTGAGGTATCGTTCTTTGCTGCGCTTGTGACTCGCTAATACGCATCTATACAACTGATTTTGCCAAATTTCCTGACTTTCACCACTAAAGGTCAAAAGTGTAATAAAAGGAAATGATGATTGGTTTGTGATGGAACACCGTTAGTGCCGCATTGCGTACCTGCGAGTCATCCATTTAGCCTTGTACCATCGCTGCGCCCAGATTAATGGCAATGGAGACCATCCGCTGAGCCAGTGAAGCAGTGAAGTTACCTTGTCCAAATGTTGACTAGGAAACCTTTCACAAATTCCCAAGTACGCCTAGGCAGTTAAATGGACCAAGTACGTGACAAGAAAGCCAAAATGAATAGGATTTGCACGCATATCCTTGTTTACAAAACTTCACAAAATCGTGTTGAATGCTGGAGTCGTTTTACACGTTTGCGCTCATTGACACATGACCATTGAGGGCAAAATAAATTCACCAAGGATTTACAAAGGGATTTCGCAAATACAGTTGTAGTGAGTCAAAATTATTAACGATCATTGTTGTAACACGCATATTTATAGAAATTTATCGTAAAATAGTAGAAATGTGAAATAGCTCAGGAGCTAGTTAGGGTTAAGCTCTAGATTGGCACAGCGATCGGTTAACTCACAAATCGCAATGTTGATATTCGACATCACCATAGGTGAAAAAAATAAAAGCACTGCAGAAACTTCACTTACCTTTCCACCGCAATGAAACAGGACTAGTAGAAGACACAAAGTAATGGCAAAGAGTACCAAACGTTTCGTAAACCTCACTGGCTCTGTTACCCCGAGAGACTGCCGCTTTATACACTCTAGTTACATTTAATCCAGAGCTGATAAGTCGCATCAATGAGAGAGCAATTACATCTCTGTCAGCTGTAATTTGTGGCCCTCAAACTCCTGTTTGCGATGTCGTTTGAAGAGCTGTCAACAAGTGTACCTTAGTGCCAAGGAGTCATAGATATTAAAATATAAAACCACCACTATCGGCATAAATTAATGCTCCTTTGTAAAAATTTCTATTTTATTTCAAAAGACAGATTGACGCTGATGCCTCTTTCTTGCTAGATAGATGACTTCTTTTATCGGTTGCTATTTGGTCCACAGGCAATTTTTTCCTCTTTCATAGTTTTTCTAAAGAGCGGCAGCGCTGGAGCTCAGAAAGTGAATATAGGGACTTTGAAAGACTAATATTTCGTAACGCCGATAAGTATGAACAATTATCTTTGCTATCAATACTTATCACCTTAATTCTGATCCTACCATTGGTGATGTATTGGTCTTCGAAAAATCATGTTACACTGGTACGTTCCCACAAGCACCATGTTGCATGCCAGAAAACACACTTGAAGTGGCAGTCGGTGTGAAAGCTATGATGCTCCTCGATAGTCAGTTAATCACGATTTGCGCAATCGTTCGCCTTTTCTGTGTTTGGGGCAGGGATGCTGCAGTGATAATTTTAAGCTACGTGTACATTGCATGGCCTCAGAACACTAATCAGCCAATCCACTTTTGTAAATTTGTCAGACTTCACTTAGTTATCGAAATTTCAGGGAATATTTGATATTGGCAAGGCATAGTTTCCAAATTTATCATCTTATTAGCTTACTGAAAGGAGAGTCCACCGTTTGATCATGCAGTAGCAGTGGCTAGTAGAGGTGCTAACTTGAATAAAAAGCAATGATCGACTGCAATTTGTGCTAAGGTAGTAGATAAGAGTTATCTTTCACGCTCTAAAGCGTTGAGTCCAAAGGAAAAACTAGCGACACATCTAAAGCAAAGTCTTTGGATTACACGTCCTTCATCTAACTGTTTGTTACCAAGACCTTGTAAAGCGTAGACCCAACCTCTTCTCACACTGCTTGTTAACGCCTAAAGAATTGTGATAAAGATGTGCAGTGCTATGTCGATTGCTAATTAAACCCTTGTAACATCATGGCGGCAAATAAACATTGCTGTGCTTGCGATCTGGCACGTAAGAAATTTTAGAAATTCACACCAGTGATTAAGCAGACATCATTGTAATCTAAGGTGGAAAGGAAAACTATTAATCAGGTCCCAAACATAATTTTGTTTTAAAAGACTTTTGGCGGTCGGAACTGCAAAAAAGGTTGGCGGTGGAAAAAATTTAAAGAAAATGCTTTTTTTAAATTATTTATATATAACTCAGTCCGATTTTTAGTATACATTGATTGCACAAGTCAGCTTTGCAGAGAAAGGTAGGGAGTCAATTCAGATTCTGTGTTTGAGGAGTACAGAGGCCGTCCTCCGGTCTATCTAGGCTACCTATTGACCCTATATTCTTAAATAAGCCCAACAAATTCTCTCACAGCAATCTCATATCTCTGAAGACTTGTGTTGAGGATCTAGAGAGTAGGGTGAGAGAGGCTACGCGAGTAATTATGAGTGAGCCACGGTAGATTAATAAATACAAAATGGCGTAGCGTTTGATCAACGTCGATGCATAAGTGTAATATATACTATTTTTCAAGTTGATCTTGATAGAAGAGAGGCGAGGAAAAATTGGAACGCGAATCCCTTGAGTGAAGACCGTGAGGAATCCCTCTCCGGGTGATATCTGCTATTCGGCTCATTTGTACTCCTATCTCCTCTCTTCCTGGAATCAATGCCTAATAAATCTACTGCAACTACTCCTCTCTTGAAGTCCATGGTTCAAGAGCATGCGGCTAGATTGGAACTTCCTACAATGAGCAGTACTAATCAAGGCGAAAAGTTGAAGGATCATGTATATGTGAAAAAAATATGATTACAAAGGATGTCAAGAAAATAGCTTTAAGATGCCTATTTCAATGGAAAATAAATAGACCGTTTGGTATATATCAATACTAGCTCGTCATGTACACTCTCCAGCCTATGTTACAACAACATTAAACTTTTAGATATTCCACTTTTCTAAATCATTAGACATGACAGTATTTTTAATGACTACTGACCTTATTACAAGAGACCGCAAAATTCATGAATGGTGTGTGAGATTAGGCGCGGATGGTTTGGTTTTGATGCATGTTTTCTTATAATTCGTACTGTAGTCCAAATTACTGAGTGCAACTGGTTTATATTTTTCTCTGGAGACTATTTAATTTTATTGGTGGACTTTCTAAATCCATGATACAACGCACGGCCAACGCATTTTGCCATTCGCTTATTTCTAACTTGCCATTATATTTCAGATTGCAACCATGGCAGCGAAGTGGTTCAATGATCCAGTGAGCTCCTGATATTTATCATAACTAACCTCGCAGTGCACACGATTAGAATCGGAGTCCCCGGATGTTGTCAGCGTTGGTGACCACGAGGCGCACGCCAAAAATATATTTGACAAGTACTTTGTAGCCAACAAAAATAGGGCTTTTGCAAACGGCTTTTCTTACGAGGGAAGGGATCGAGTTACTCAGGAGTGGCTAAGTACGGTTCTGCGTCGTGGCACTAGTGCGGATCGTGTGTTGGCCTTGGCCTTCATGATTCAGGAAAACCCTCTCTCTTCTTTGCAGCACATTGAAAGTCTGCTGACCTTTGTTTCGCCTGTCAAAAAACAGCTTTGTATGAAAGCGATAGACGTTCTCTCTAATCTTTTTGAAAATTATCTTCTTCCGAGCAGCCGAGCTCTCATTGGTTTCGAGAATCGTCCCTTTAAAGTTCTGGCGGGGCACCCAGAAGCGCTTACTGAAAATCTGGCACCTAAAGATGCTCAGCATGAATCCAAACTGCCTCCCAACTGTCGCGAAAATATTCTTGCTCTATGGTACTACGAGCATATGCTTAAACAGTGTTATTTTCGATTTTTGACATCTTTGGAGGTAATTTTGTTGTTTTCCCCATCTGCTGGTAAATTTAGAATGTTTTAAGACGTGAAACTATTCCAGTAGAGAAAGCTAAAGCGTTGAGTAAGCAAAAGATTCATCGTAACCTCTTTCTTCTAGACGCTCTAGTAAGTTTAGCCACGGGAAAGCCTGAAAATCGGGAGGTATTTTCAAGTTTGGAATAATTTTTGAATTAGTTTGCGATTGGTATTGTGGTGAATAAGCTCGGTGATCGCAGTAAAGGTTTTGCGTCCAGCGTAATTCACAAGTTGCGCATAGTGTGTAAGTTTGCCTTCCCTTGTTCTCCGAACCACTCATTTTTGCTGCGAGAATTTTAGTCCACCTCGTGCTTCAGGTCAGCGCTACCCTCGCCTGAAAACAGTAGTAGTGGAGCAAATCCGCATTTTCCTCTTCCGTCCAAACCTGCTTAACCGGGCTAAGTACTACGCCATTGTGTTACTCTCCTCTATGCCTTTGTCGAAGAACGCGCAGCTCTCCGCCCTGATGGAGGATGCTAACCCTGATGATACTATTGCCGCCGCTCTTTTTCGCATATACCTTTCCTTCTTTCGGGAGTCGGTAAGTTCTAAGGAGCTACCGGAACGCCTTACAGCCGCTCTCCTTGCTGGCATCAGTCGTGTTGCCCCATTCCTCTCGGGTAAGATGGCACTCCTAATTGTTATAGTCCATTGCCCACAGTTTGTAGTTTATGATAATCTCAAGGTTTTATTGGATGTATTTGAATTATTTTCGCATTGTCTCGGCATGATTTTCATTAAAATACCATGATACCTTAATGGGTTCTAGGAAATATATTAGCAGCAACACTCTGTTCTGACAATTCCCAAATAGAATTGATTTATTAAGCTCAAATGTTTGCCTATTCAATCAGCCAATTACCAACTGCCGTCCAATTAGGGGTGAAGGATTCACCATTTTTTGACGGTTGATGAGTTTAATTAGTGATTTGTTGCAAGTGTGGATATTAGCTTTCTTCATTATCTAAGGATTTGTTGTGAAATTTGACCATTGAGAAAGCTCATTGTTTTACCCTACATTTGACGGATGAAGTAGTCTCCAATTTTAATGCTTGTGTGGCTATTGAGTTTATCGCAGACTCTTCTGTACTTTCAGTCTGTTATATCATTCGATTTCCAGAACTGTTATCTGATGCTTAAAACAGTGCATTTAACCACTATGTATCCGAGTTCAAATATTTGAACTCTATTTGATTGCCTCCTTTGTGCATGTCAATTCATCTTGTGAACGTTCGTTTGTCCTTGTCAGTTAAAGTTATGTCTGAGAACATCACGGACGTCGACGCTATCTTCAGGCTGGTTCATGTGACAACCAATTTCACAATCAGTCTGCAGGCTCTCACCTTTCTTTTCCACTTTGCTTCCCACCAGCAACGACTTCGCGATCGCTACTATCAGGTAAGTCTCGACAGTGAATAGTCCACACGAATAACACGGCTCCATATTCATTAAGGAGTGCAGCTTTTCAATCCAACTAAATGGTCAGAGGCAGGTATTCTCTTTAATCACTTAGTGCGCGCTAAAATAAATTGGTCTACTGTTCTGTCAACTATGTAATGGGATACGTCGATCAATCCGAGCTGCAACAAAGGTGATGGCAGTGGTCCGAAGATTGGGAAGGTAGTGTTTTACCAAGCTAGGCTACTGAAATCCTTCAAAGTAGCTGAGGGTGACTTGTTTTCAAATTCCTGTATGTCAATCTCCTTGTCCTAAACTTTTAACCATCTCTTAGGGGTTGTCTGTGCTATAATTCAGTACCAAGTGATATTATAGACTGTATGCGAATCACTAAATCATGAAAGAGAAGATTATTATTTTCTGGTTCACTTTCACTATAAAACAATGTACATATTGATATTGTTATTATAAACAGGTAGTAGGGAGATGTACTCGTGTAGCAAATCTCACTCATGTCATATATGTTCATTCCTTTGGTTTCACTGGTAGAACATCACTGTAATTTCTACTCGAATGTCAATTTTAATGCCATCTTTCCCGGAAGCCTGCTCCTGTGTAACAAATTGAACTGAGGTGGAGCATATCAACTTGGCTGAGAAAGGACGATCATTTGTCGCATACAGGGTTGTTGATGAATTTCGTTGCAATTTCGTGAAAGTCTGTGAAATCATTGTTGGATAACATCGCAATACACTTTTTCATTCTCATTCAAAGGCGCTCTATCGTAAGCTCACAGACTGTGCAATTCGTTGGACAGCGCGCGGTCCTTTTCTGCTAAATCTGCTCTACCAGAGCTTATCAGCAGACATTGATACTGAGCGTCGAGCTGCTTTCATTCACCGCCTTCTCTCAATATGCCTAAGTCATCCAAACTCTGGTTTTGTGGCTGGTTCACTAATTCTTCTTGAGAAACTCTATTTATCTGGCAAGGCTAACCCGATAGGTGCTGCTGCTGACCAGGTAGGTAATTCCACTTCTTTGCTGTCGGATAACACTCCACCGCCGCTGCCTACTTGGGTTTGCTCATTCTTAGTCAACTGAGCTACGAAAAGATTCACAATGCAAACTTCCTACATCGGTTGGTGTTGTCAAACCGAGTCACCGCTCAAATATAACTGCGATTGACTCAGAAGAAGAACACTTCTCTGACGTTCCTGCATCAGATGAAGAGGAAGAAGCAGACGACACAGTAGAGAAAAAAGCGAAGGAAACCTCCACAAAACCTATGGAGGGCGTCTGGGAGCACCGTCGTCTATCCCAAAAGACGAAGAAACGGTTCTTCGGTGCTGCGGTAGGCTATGACAGCTCAGCACGAGATCCGCGCTTTGCGCGAGCTCTTAATCAACCCTGCTGGCAACTTTCCTTGCTTTCCAACCACGCTCACCCCTCCATTGCCTATTTTGCCAAAAACCTGATGGATCGGAGCGTTTTTAAGTACACCGGTGATCCCTTTGAAGACCTATCGGTGGCTCATTTTATGGAACGATTTGTCTACAAGAAACCCAAGCCTACTTCAGGTACAGTAGGAAGAAGTTGGGGTTGGGGTTGATGTGTAGCCTTGCTGGTCCATTTCCTTTTTCGTTACAGTTGCAAAACCGGGCAAGGTGCTCATTGATGGTGGTCCGAAGAAGCAAGTCCATGCTAAGACACTGGCTCCTGACAGCCTAGCTTACAGAAATCTCAATCCTGAACAGGTGCCCTCTGACGAACGCTTCATTCACAGGTGAGTTTCCTTTGGATTTTAGTAGTCTTCCATACGGCAGGTTCTAGCTGTTTTCGTTTTGCTATTTCCAGATTCCATCTACTTGTGCATGACTGTTAGTATTTTATTAAATGTGCTGACGGCTTAAGTGTGAGTTCTCGATGTATGCTTGTTGGATCAGAATTTTAAAAAAATTTATGACGAAGATGATAAGTAAACATTTGAATGGATGTTTCCATATAGCTGGTATCTTATTGCAATAAGTGAATAAGTGACTTCGTGTCATCGAAAAGTCGACCAAATGTGTGGATATCGTTGCATCGTTTCGTCGGGACATTTAGTTTTACAGTTTAGTATAATTACATAAATTGTAACTTCTTTGTGGTGTGTAAAGTTTCTAACATGGATACTCAATTACTCCAGGGGATTGAATTTTCTCCTCGCCCTAATTCCTCTTTTCATTGGTTTCCTCTTATTAGTTACTTTAACTTTATCAACGCTCAATCCAAAAAAGGAAGAGGAAGTCATAGCAGTGATGAGTCGGACCTGGACAGGGACTTCGACCAATATCTCAGTGGGTGGACTCTTTCCATTGAATCTTTTGTCTTACCCGTAGACAGCTCCCTATACTTCTCTGTTTTAAATTTTCCAGGAAAGCATGAAAAGGGACTAATTCCAGATGACGTGGATGAAGATGATTTATGTGCTGACTCTGATTTTAACTACAGTAAGTTACTCTTATTATAGTGATCTGGTGAAACAATGACTTCCGCTTTAAACTTATATGTGATAAGAAAGCGCGATTTAAACTTCTGAAACATTTACATCCATGCGTCCAAGTTTAAAACGGGTACGCTAAGTGTCCAACTTGCATGGTGTGTTGCCAGTTGGCTTCGTGGCGACTCGCTTTCAGCCTAAAGGTAATTTGCATGAATTGTACCTTTCACGATCGGAAAGGTTATTGTTAAGTCCGAGTTACTGTGTTTTCCTCAATATCAATTTTTAAACTTAATGTAACTTCTACTTCAACTTAAAAAGTTAATGGGTCGCTTGAATCCTTTTGTGACATAGTTTCGTGAAACTGCTGGCAGCTCCGTAATTGATGCCATTTGTTGTTTTGGTTTCTGTCATTTTAATTGTTAGCGAGATGCTGAACGTTTGTAAGTCATTCGTCTGTGCATCCATCTCCAGTAGATGACCTGGATTTCGCAAAGAAGGTACATTCACCAATGGAGTTCCGAGTTCTTACAATCACGCAAAGTTACCGTGTACATTGG